AGAAAATAGAAGAAGAGCTTTTCTGCTCTGAGGCTTTTTTTTTTTTTCCAGAGGGCTCTTGGAAACAGATGCTCTGGGTAATGAACTCATCATGAGCTCATCGTGTCGGGGAGGAGGGCTGAGCAGGATTGATGGCGGGGACCACAAAGTGTTTTCTTGCTGACACAGCCTGCGATTTCCACCGCGTGCTGCCGGCCCTTCCTCGCTCACACCCGAGGCGAAGCGGCAGCGGGCAGGAGGCGGCGTGGAGGGGACGAAGCTCTCCCCGGTCGGGCAGAGGGGAGAAATGGGAGCATCTGGGTGTCACCAGGATGCTGAGCTCTGGCTGCTCCTCTTCTCCTTGTCCTGCCCTCGCAGTCTTGGGATTGTTCACAAGCACATCGTCCAGCACTGACCCTTAGGGAGCAGGGAGGGGGCAAAAGGACAGCTCTGATACATCCAGACCCCAAACCTCACAGTCGTGAGTGGTGCGAAACATCTCATCTGGGGGGTTGGAGACGAATGGGGGGAAAGGTCTTTGAATTAATCCTCTCAAAGGTCCCTTTTCATGTGTGTTCCCAGTGGAGGCTTGCTCCAAAGCCAGGCTGTTACAGGTCTCTCTTCATCCCTGGAGAACGAAAGAATTCCTGGAGAGGGACTTTTTACAAGGGCATGTAGTGACAGGACAAGGGCGAACAGCTTTAAACTGAAAGAGGGTGGTTTTAGATTAGCTACAAGCAAGAAATTCTTGACTCTGAGGGTGGTGAGGCCCTGGAACAGGTTGCCCAGAGAAGCTGTGGCTGCCTTCTCCTTGGAAGTGTTCAAGGCCAGGTTGGACGGGGCTTTGAGCAACCTGGTGTGGTGGAAGGTGTGCCCGCCCATGGCAGAGAGGTTGGAATGAGGTGATCTTTAAGGTCCCTTCCAACCCAAACCATTCTATCACTCTATGTCACTGTCATCTCTGCAACATCTGCAGCCACAGCTGGAGCCCAGCACACCTTCCCCTGTACATATCGTAGCACTTGGAGAAAGGTCCTGGGCTGACAGCTCCAGACACTGAGGTTTGCTGTCAGCTCATGGGACTGGTCCGGCAAGGCCTTCCCATTCTCCATCCTCGGTCTTGGGGGCTTGGAGGGCAGCAGCATAGGTCCTGCGGTGTTTTGAGCCTGTTGCATTCATTTTTGTTGAATGAGGGCTTCTCCCATCCCTGCTATTGCTATTGACTATCAGTGATTAGAAGAGATGTACCAAAGGCAGGTGACACCAAAAGTGTGCATCAGGCTGCCCCAAAGTTGTCACAGTGGTTCATCAAACTGCTGCTCTCCTCCAGCAGTTGACCCAACTCAGCTAATGGCCTGGGTAATTTCTACTTTTTCAGGTAGTAGCTTTTGCCTCGCTTTTCTTCATCCTGGTCTCCATCACAACCTTCTGCCTGGAGACACATGAAGCCTTCAACATCGACGTCAATGTGACGGAGACCCTCGTGGTTGGCAACACCACAACAATCCTGCTGACGCATAAAGTGGAGACGGAGCCCATCCTCACCTACATCGAAGGGGTCTGTGTCCTGTGGTTCACCCTGGAGTTCCTGGTTCGCATCATCTGCTGTCCAGATAAGCTTCTCTTCGTTAAAAACCTGCTCAACATCATTGACTTTGTGGCCATCTTGCCCTTCTACCTGGAGGTAGGTCTCAGTGGCCTGTCCTCCAAAGCTGCCCGGGACGTACTAGGCTTCCTACGGGTGGTTCGTTTTGTCCGGATCCTCCGGATCTTCAAGCTGACACGGCACTTTGTGGGTCTCCGGGTGCTGGGCCACACACTCCGGGCCAGCACCAATGAATTCCTGCTCCTCATCATCTTCCTCGCCTTGGGGGTCTTGATTTTTGCCACTATGATCTACTATGCTGAGCGGATCGGAGCCAAGACATCCGACCCCCGTGGGAGCGAACACACTCACTTTAAGAACATCCCCATTGGGTTCTGGTGGGCCGTGGTCACAATGACAACCCTGGGCTACGGCGACATGTACCCCAAGACCTGGTCAGGCATGGTGGTGGGGGCTCTCTGCGCATTGGCTGGGGTGCTCACCATCGCCATGCCCGTGCCCGTCATTGTCAATAACTTTGGGATGTACTATTCGTTGGCCATGGCTAAGCAGAAGCTGCCAAAGAAGAAGAAAAAGCATATACCCCGTCCGGCCCCGCTGGACTCCCCTACCTACTGCAAATCCGAGGAAAACTCCCCCCGCAACAGCACCCAGAGCGACACTTGCCCCTTGGCGGTAGAGGAGGGGGCAACTGAGCGGAAACGGTCAGGTGAGACCCCAAAGGTGGGGCAGAGGGAGGGGGAGACCTGCGGAAGCTTCCAGGGCAGCATTCTGGGTCCCTTGTGTCCCAGAGTCCCTGGGGACTGCCCTGCCGCAGGATGTGTCCCTTGGGGTGGTGAGATCTTGCTGCAGAAAGGGCTGGGTCCCTTGGGTGTCTGGGTGTTGGGTGCTGTATTGGTGGACCAGGACGCTGCAGATCAAGATCCCCCTCCAAGCAGGAGAGGGATCCTGATGGCATAGATCAAGTCACTGTGGTGTGATTCAAGGCGTCCCTACCTAGCCCACCTCTTCCTCACCCTGACAGAGGTAAGACTCCCGATTCCCATCTTAGCCTGGCAATGCTCTTGGGGTAGATTTTCTTTTGCTTCCTTCCACCATAAATCAGGGCAAGCTTCACCAAAATGGATAAATCCATGGATATTCCGTGGTGCTTGATCCCACCTCCCCATTCATCTTCTAGTAGATGTAGCATCCCTGTATGGCAAGGCCAACGCTGCTCCAAATCCTGTCCTCAGGCAGGAGCAGTATCAGTCCCTGCACATTTGTTATTTGGTCTCGTGCCATGAGCTGAAGCTTGGGGTTTGGCCGGTCTTTCCTTCAGGTGGGGAGAGGGCCTGGCCCCAGCTGCAGGCAGTCATTGGTGGGCAGCATCGCTTGGGCTGAGCTTGGGGGGCTGCGAGAGCCCTGCCATGGTATCGTTGCTGGCCACTGAAGCTGCTTTGCCTGATTTGTCTTGGTTTGCTGCCAGCAGCACCTCCAGAGCAGCCGGCGCTGCGGTGCGGAAACAGGAGGGACCATGGTGGGGTTGTGTCCTGCACCAACATGGCATTCGCTGAGGCTAGCCCTGAGCAGCCGCACATCTGGCCACATGTGTTTACCAGCGAGGGTCCTTCACCCATGGGAACACAGGGAGCTCCAAAGGCCCCACATAGGTGTTCTCCTGGATAAATCTCCCTTTTCCATGTGCCCGTGCATCCCGTCTGCCCCAGGAGCCCTGGCAGTGGGAGCCGAGTAGCTGTCCTGCTCTGGAGAAGCAGCAGGTCATCCCCATCCCTTCACCCCAACACCAATCCAGGAGCTCAGGCCAGACCCTCAGCTGGCAGAGCATCCTCTCAGCTAACGAACCACAGGGTCAGATGACATCAATTAGCACTTCACCACTAACCTGAGCAGTCTGGATCCCAGCGGTGTGAATTTTGCAGAGCTAATTCCCACCAATTAGGTGGGCGGAACCCAAAGCCCAGGGGTGTTTCTTCCCTGGTAAACCCCGCTTGGCTTCATGCAGGGTAGATAAACCTCAGCAGCAGCAAGAGCTTCTCTTTGTTGCTTGGAGTTAAAATCTGGCATGGTCCTGCTCCCCTGGTCACTCTGAGTTAGCATGTCCAGGCTGGGGACAGTACCTGAATTTGTGGGTGTTGCTCTGGGTCATCTTCAATCTGGCCTTCTGCTTCCTTGCATGGTCTAAGCAAACTCTTCTGGCCACCCCAAGCACCTCATCCTGTGGGTTTATTGACTGCTGATGGGTCTCCGCCACCTTCTTGCAGATTCTAAGCAGAATGGTGAGGCCAACGTGGTGCTGTCAGATGAGGAGCAGCCGCTGTCTCCGACTGATGAGGAGAAGCGGCCCATGCGGCGCTCCAGCACCCGGGATAAGAACAAGAAATCCTCCACGTGCTTCCTGCTGGCCACGGGTGACTTCTCCTGTGCAGCGGACGGAGGCATCCAGAAAGGTATGGCTGATGCTGGAGGTGTGGGCTGGGGAGGGCGAGATGGAGGAGTGAGGTAGAGGTTTATTGTGTCTGTCTGAGACGATGGCTCATCTCCATCTGCCTGCCTGGCTGTTGGTCTCTGCTCCCCAAATCCGCTTGTCTTCCCGCCTCTCCACCTGCTTCGCCTCCATCCACCACATCTCTCTGCATTAGCTCTACCCTTTTTGTTTTCTCCTCCCCCAAGTCCTCCTCCCAGTTGCTGCTGTTTGGGGTCTGTGACCCCATGCTGGCTGCACTCTCCTCCCTGGGGACAGGTCTGTCCCTTTGCTCCCCAGTGCTCCAGCTTCTCCTGTCCCTCCGGCTCTTCTCCCTGGGCCTCAGTCACCCATCTCAGGGTGGTGTGAGGGGGACATCTCTCCTGGGGAGGCTGGGACTGAAGGTGGTCAAAAGGTTTTCAGCAAGGAAAAAAATCCACCGGCTTTTCCTTTCCTCTCCCCTCTGATGTGTTTTGGTGGCTTCAAGCGTGGGGAGCCACGATGTGTCAAGTGCTGCTTTGCCAAAAGCACCGGGCTGCCAGAAAGGCTGTCTCCTCGGGGTTGGAAAGGGAGCTCTGTGGAGTGTGGAGGTTTTCCATGGGAATCTGTGGGGGAGAAGATTCAGGAAAACACACAACTCTTCTTCCCCTGACAAAACAACAGTCCTCCTCAGCCTGGTTCCTTCACGCCGTCCACCAGCCTTCTCTGCCCCACTGGCGAGCGTGCCCTGTGCCCGCATCCCAGCACCCCAGCCCCAGGAGGGTAAATCCGGTGCCTACCCTGAGCCCCAAAGCCTAGCTGCACCCTCAATTGCTGGGTTACTTCTCAGGACACCGCTCAGTTTTTTAGTTCTGCAGTTTTTCTTGTGTGTCCCGAGTGGTGTGGGGTGACGTAGCTGCAGAGCTGACCTACCTCTGCCTCTGTGGTACCGTCTAATCCCAGTTACTCACGGGGAATGGTGCGTGTAAGCTGGGACCAGGCAGGAGAAGAGCTGATGTGCCGATGTGCTACATCTCTGAGCTGCACCCCAAGCCCTGCCGGCTCCTGGTGCTGATGCTTCGCAGGCCCTCAGGGGTTTGTTGCTGTAGCGCTGCTTGGGTTGGTAGAGATTGGATGGGCTTGGGGCAGACGGAGGTGTTCAGGGGCAATCACATTTATTACATTAGTGGAAGCAA